ATCATCGCTTTTTCTGCGCGATTTCAAAATTTATTTTTATTATTTTTTTCCACGGATATGTATTCATTCGAATAGGTTTTTAAGTTTTGAAATTTTAGATTACGGTTGGCAACCTGTGGGCGCCATTATTAAATTGAGAGAAAGTCGAAATGTCTGACGATGAAGTACGTTTGGAAAAAGAAAGGCAAGAAGACCTTAAAGAGAGAGATGAATTTGCCAAAAGGTTAAAAAATAAGGACAAAGAACACACGCGTAATATTGTCGAAAGATCAGACAAGAAAGCTTACGCAGAAGCAGCCAGAAGGCTTCAGTTAGAGGCTGAAGACAAGCAGAAAATCGTACCAAAATTACGTGTCGACTCTCGACGAAAATATTTAGAAAAAAGAAAATATGATAAAATTACTGAATTGGAAGCTGATATTGAAGATGAATTTTTTCTCTTCTCGGAAACCAAACTTACAAAACACGAGAAAGAAGATATTAAATACAAAAAGAAAATCCTTCGATTGGCAAAGGAACATGAAAAAGCGAGAGAATTGGAAAAAATTCAGAGATATCACATGCCAGAGGAAAATAGGAATAAGAAAGCTGATGAAGCATATGTAGAAATTGACGAGAAGGAGAAAGTACCGAATGCAGAACAAAAGAAATGGGAAGAAGAGAGATTGGGAATTGCGCAGATGCGTTTTGGTGCACGTGATGCAAAAGAAAGGTTCTTGGAGAAAGAGAAGCAGTATGAGTTAGTTCTCGATGATGGAATAGAATTTGTTAAAACTTTTAAGTTACCTGGAAGTAAAGCAAGAGATCAGGAAGATAATGAAGTTGTAGAAGAAGAGGTAGAAAAGCATTCCATTCAAGAAACGAGAAAGAGTCTACCGATATATCCGTTTAAAGATGATCTTCTTGATGCTGTAGAAAATCATCAAGTTTTGATAATTGAAGGCGAAACTGGTTCTGGCAAAACAACTCAGATTCCTCAATATTTACACGAGGCTGGCTATACAAATGATGGAAAGAAAATCGGATGCACGCAGCCTAGAAGAGTAGCAGCAATGAGTGTGGCTGCTAGGGTAAGTGAAGAAATGGGTGTTAAATTGGGAAGTCGAGTTGGTTATAGTATTCGTTTTGAAGACTGTACTTCGGAAAGAACGGTTTTAAAATATATGACAGATGGAATGTTAGTCCGAGAATTTCTGTCTGAACCGGATCTTAATTCTTATAGTGTTATCATAATTGATGAAGCGCATGAAAGGACCTTACACACTGATATTCTTTTTGGATTGGTTAAAGATATTGCACGTTTCCGTCCAGATTTAAAGTTATTAATATCGAGTGCTACGTTAGATGCTGAAAAGTTCTCCAAATTTTTTGATGATGCTCCAATATTTCGTATACCTGGTCGTCGCTTTCCTGTTGATATTTATTATACAAAAGCTCCTGAAGCTGATTATTTAGATGCTTGTGTTGTCACTGTGTTACAAATACATATTACACAACCTTTAGGAGATGTGTTGGTATTTTTAACTGGCCAAGAAGAAATTGAAACTTGTCGAGAATTGTTGTTGGAACGAACGAGAAAATTAGGCTCTAAAATAAAAGAATTACTTATTCTACCAATTTATGCCAATTTACCATCTGATATGCAGGCAAAGATTTTTGAGCCAACTCCACGAGGTGCAAGGAAAGTAGTGTTGGCTACTAACATTGCAGAAACATCATTAACAATTGATGGCATTATATATGTGATTGATCCTGGTTTTTGCAAACAAAATAGTTATAATGCCAGAACAGGAATGGAGTCATTGGTAGTAACTCCTATTTCTAAAGCTTCTGCAAATCAGAGAGCAGGCCGTGCTGGAAGAGTGGCTGCAGGAAAATGTTTTAGACTTTTTACTGCATGGGCTTATCAGAATGAATTAGAGGATGATACTATTCCAGAAATTCAGCGAGTTAATCTTGGAAATGTTGTTCTTTTATTGAAATCTTTAGGAATAAATGATTTGTTACATTTTGATTTTATAGATCCGCCTCCACATGAGACATTAGTATTGGCATTAGAGCAGTTGTATGCATTAGGTGGACTCAATCATTTAGGTGAGCTCACAAAATTGGGGAGACGTATGGCAGAATTTCCTGTAGATCCAATGATGTCAAAGATGATAATAGCATCTGAAAAGTATAAATGTTCAGAAGAAATTTTAACTATTGCTGGCATGTTATCTGTAAATAATGCAATATTTTATAGACCTAAAGATAAAATCATTCATGCTGACACAACTCGGAAGAACTTTTTTGTTTCAGGTGGTGATCATTTGACTTTACTTAATGTTTATAACCAATGGGTCGAAACCGATTATTCCACTCAGTGGTGCTTTGAAAATTTCATCCAGCATCGTTCGATGAAAAGAGCTAGGGACATAAGAGAACAATTACAAGGACTAATGGAACGTGTTGAAATAGATCTGGTTTCAAATCTTACCGATACAGTTGCTATACGAAAATCGATTACATCTGGATATTTTTATAACACAGCTCGTTTATCCAAAAGTGGTCACTACAAGACAATAAAACATCAGCAGACTGTTATGATTCATCCTAATAGTTCACTTTTTGAAGAACTTCCACGATGTGTAATATATCATGAATTAGTTTTTACTACTAAAGAATATATGAGACAATTGATAGAAATCGAGGGTCAGTGGTTATTAGAAGTTGCTCCACATTATTATAAACCAAAAGATATTGATGATTCACATATGAAAAAAATGCCAAAAAATACAGGAAAATCACGAGTAGAATTAGAACGATAAATTTTAATAAACCATCTTGTATAGTGATTATATTGTTGTTAATGATGTTCAGTACATTTGTATTAAAATATTTTTTGTTATTAACAAGCAATTATTTATTGTAACATCGTCACAATACCAGGCTGCAATTTTTAATTTATTTAATTTAAAATATATGCTATAAGTTAGAAAATAATATAGAATTAAATTACACATTCCAAATTTGTATATAATAATTTTATTTATAAATGACTTTATTCTGAAAATACAAGAATTCTAATTTTTTCAACGTTGGTCTCAGACAAAAATTATGTTCAAATTTTATGCCTTTGTGTCCTTAACTTATGTATTTATGCTTAAATTATCAACTAGGACTTATTATACTGGATAACTGGTTCTGCAAGTTAAAAATCAAATCAGAAAAAACAGTCTTTTATTTATCACCTGAACACACACATAATATCTTTGTGTTTTGAACCTTTTGGCCCCTCATCAGCAGGTTTCCGATCGACATTCTCTAAAAACTCAACTATAAAATTGTTACAAATTTATATAAAACATAGATAAAATTTCCTTCAATAAAATAAACAATGTAAAACTTACAATTTTGTGGTTTATAAATACATCCTTGAATCCAACAATATTTAATTAAATAAATAATACATATCCAATCCTATTCCAGCATTTAAAACAATAAAATCAATTAAATTGATAAAATTGGATTAAACCCTTTTTAAAAAAAAAACATCATTTATCATTCACTTTTAATTAAACATTGTCTAATCCCGAAGTGTATGGATGTATTCGAATATACAATTGCCGTTTAAAATTATTTATATATTTTTTTATTTTTATGGTGTTTAAACCTAACTTGCATCCTGTTGTATTACAATGTTCAGTTACTGCTGAATTTGCATAATTCCCTTTGATTGCTCGAATATGTTATTTTATTCTTATTTTAAATTTTCTTTTCGTTTCACTAATATATGTTTTCTTTTGTTGACAACTGCAACTGAATACACCACCCCTTTTTCTTCCATTATTTCATATTTTTCATCATTTCTATAACAAATGTATTTTTTAGTCAAACTTATTTTTTCCAGTATTCAGTTGCAGTTGTCAACAAAAAATATATATTGGTGAAACGAAAAGAAAATTTAAAATAAGAATAAAAGAACATATTCGAGCAATCAAAGGGAATTATGCAAATTCAGCAGTAACTGAACATTGTAATACAACAGGATGCAAGTTAGGTTTAAACACCATAAAAATAAAAAAATATATAAATAATTTTAAACGGCAATTGTATATTCGAATACATCCATACACTTCGGGATTAGACAATGTTTAATTAAAAGTGAATGATAAATGATGTTTTTTTTTTAAAAAGGGTTTAATCCAATTTTATCAATTTAATTGATTTTATTGTTTTAAATGCAGGAATAGGATTGGATATGTATTATTTATTTAATTAAATATTGTTGGATTCAAGGATGTATTTATAAACCACAAAATTGTAAGTTTTACATTGTTTATTTTATTGAAGGAAATTTTATCTATGTTTTATATAAATTTGTAACAATTTTATAGTTGATTTTTTAGAGAATGTTGATCGGAAACCTGCTGATGAGGGGCCAAAAGGTTCAAAACACAAAGATATTGTGTGTGTTCAGGTGATAAATAAAAGACTGTTTTTTCTGATTTGATTTTTAACTTGCAGAACCAGTTATCCAGTATAAATAAGTCCTAGTTGACAATTTAAGCATAAATATTGGTCTCAGACTTTTGATGTCATATTAAACTTAATACTGAAATAAAGATGTTTTTGTATCATAACTTGTCAACTAATAGTTTAAATCTATTTTTTCTAAATAGTTTAAATTTCAAGATCTGATGATGGAGATGAATTCTGTAAAAAAAGAAAAGTTAGTCAAAATATAGTTTTGGGGTTTTTAGAATAAGGTCATTTATTTATAATTGAATGAAATCAGAATAATCTGTTAGAAATCTAAAACTTATTTCATAAGTAAATTTGTAAGCAAAGAGGAGAAAAATTTTAAGAGCTGTTATGCAACGAGCATTGCAGATATGGGGTAAAATGAGCCTGAACTATGTAGTGTTGAAGTCTAGTAACAAATGGAATCATACGATTCTTACCCATTTGATGGAACCTGTCAACATGGATATGTATAGCACTAAAGAGCTATACATATCCAGGCATGTGCCTCATCTACAGAATGGCCTATAGCAACGCAAGGACAGTGGAGTCCTGTATTGTCTGCACTTTTCCTACAGATGCAAAGCAGCAAATGTCCTATTGTCTGAAAGAGACTGGAAAGCCATAACACATGTGCAGGACAAAATGCCATAATCTAAATATTGATTTGAGAAGGAAATCTTGGCCTATGTTGCAAGACATCTGCCCACCAGTTCCAAGCAATTGCATCAAATGTGGGTCATTCACAAGTGAGTTGTAGGTCTTGCTTGGTGGTGGAACTACAGTGTTGCAAAGTGATTTAGCCAAATCAGGGGACATATTCTGAGCTCTTCTGATAACTCAATGAGAGTGATACACAGGACATTCAATAAGTCCCCTTAGCGAAAGGCAGTTAACAAACCTTAGACAAATCACTATTCTCTGCTCTATGTTAAGTGGGTTTTGTTACAGGTAGTTGTTCAAGGTGTGTCTGGGTTCCATGCTATCGATAGCTGTTATGCTTTAACCAATCATAGATTAGTTAGCATTGTATTTTTGTCATGTGACTGCAACCCACTGTTTTTAAGCAAAGCATGTGGTTTTAGTATTGTCATGTACCAGCACTAGTCAAATAGTTTTATGTTAAAATGTCATCAAAGAAGGGACAATGCAGCCAACAAACTACAACTTGTCAGTTTGAGATATTAGTTAAAACACTTCAGTTCTAGCCAGGACCAGATTTAGGCACTTTGAGGCCCTAAGCTGAACTTTGTGTGAGGCCCCTTACCAACCCTTTTAGAAGTAAATCATATAAAAGAAAGAATTAACATAAGCATATTAATTTTAATAATAAATATTTTGTTGTTAAAAAGTATTTGCAACATATTATAAAATAAGGTACAATATAAATAGTGAAACATTAAAAATTTCACTTGTCATTTTTTTTATTGCAAAAAAGTTACTAAAAGCTAAAAAAAACAACCTATAAAAATCAAATGAATTTTATAGTAAAAAAATTACTAGAAATGTAGTATAAACAATATTGGTTATTAATGTAATTAAATACTACAAAAAATAAAAAGTAAAGTATAGTTGATTTGTAAAAAAATTTATATCAAAATTTGATTTTCTTTTTTGTAGAAAATTTTGAGGCCCCTTCAAACTTGAGGTCCTAATTTTCTCTTTCCAATTGCTGGTGAAGTAATATCCTTACACCTAAAGTCACCATGTTCTTTTTATTTTCTAACGGCATCTTGAGAATAATCGATAAGAAAAGCTTAGTTATCACATATGGCTATCAGAACCGAAAACAAAACATATGGCTCAGAATAGCATTTTCATAGTTGATTAAATGCCAATCACATGGTTCAGATAGAAACTTGTTTTTATTGTATTTGCTAGCTTCACGATACAACTCAGAATAGGTCCCCAGAACCTGAATATGTGAAGTGAAAAGCCTATACCTACAATCAAAACAATTCTTTTGATCATGGGGTTGGGTGATTCGATTTTTTTTTCTAGTTGAGCTAAAGGCTTTATTTGGAGAGGAAAGTTCTTTTGTGGTGGGAGAGGAGGGGCCCTAATTAGAATTTCAACCCCATCTGCAGAAGGTGCAGGGTTTAAACCAGGAAAATTTTCTCCATAGCAACATTCTACTAGTGGTTGCTATGCCAGTCAGCAGCCAGATTTTTATAGATGAGACATTATTTACCAGAGTTGGTCTCTTCAACAACCACAACAGCCATGTATGGATGAAGGCAAATCCACCACATGTACAGTACACCATCAACCATCAACAGAGGTTGTTGATCAATGTGTGAGCAGGGAATTAGAGAATGTTCACTTGAAAGAAATATTTTGATGAATAGACAGATTAATTAGTGTTTAAAAATATTGAAATTACAAAGAAAAACAATGTAGTTACTTATTACTTTAATTTTTACTAAGAATTAGACCAGTTATAAATAATGTTTGTTTGAATTCAAAAATCCTTAAGAATACAGCGGGTGATTGGTTAACAAACATAATCCATTCCAAGACTTTGTTTGCTATCCAAATTGTTCATTAACCAATTATCGATTTACCATAGGTTTTTATGGGAATTTGATTAATTCATTCTGGAGACCCCAAAAAATAAAAAAATATACACTTTCTTACTACATTCATTTATATGTAATAATAAAAATACATATATACACAGTCTTGCATTTTTATTAGTCATGTTTTTTCTGTTTGTGGGGTTTAAAGAATCTGTCTAATGTTGATTGATTTTCTCTCTCCAGGATTTTTCAGAAGTGATTCATAGCATTGTAATTGTAGAGAGTAGAGATCTCCAAATCTATTAACCTCAACCTAGTTTGGATGCCATTTTAAGACTGTCATTCTGACATCCTCCCACTTCTTCAAAAAAATGTTTAACAGCAGATATTGACATTAATTTTTTTTTCAGAAGAAAACATATCTTGCCGAGTTTCTTGCCAGTGTTCTTCTGTCATCAGATCTGTTTCGGGTTCCATTATGAACTCTTCAATGTTCTTTATTTTCAGATGTGATTTTTGTTACTAATTTAGCTGCTCAAGTCCTCTCGATTATACTGTATCTATCTTAGATAAGATTGAACTGCGGCCTACTGTAGACCTTTTCGAGCCATACTGCCCAGCAACATCAGACATCTGCCCACTCTCTACCTTTGCTATTATACTCTCATCTTTCGAAAATAAAAACCGACACAAAACTTAACGAGTGCTTGCCCAACAGTCTCGTGAATACTATAAAAGAATTGTTTCTGTCAGAAAAATAAAAAACTGGAATTATAAGGGAGCGTTTCAAAGTTTGGAGGAATACTATCCGATTAGTATATACTGGGTTGAGTGTCGACGTCGACGTCTCCCGTGCTCCGAAAAGTTTCGAATTGTTGCCTGAAGATGAGCTGACCAATCAGTATTTGTTATTTTATGTCGCTTCTTCTTGTGTTTGTTCT